CCTCTCTTTTATCTATTCAATATATAGAATGGTTATATTCTGAATTCTGATTTCTTCCAACAACTTTCAACATGGTATCGTTGAAGAGCATTGGCTGCAACTGTTGCAAATAATATGAATAATTGAATTTTTAGAACAATATTTTATTGAATAACTTGAAAAATATATTAAAAAGATATATTATATAGACATTAAAAATAAATAATTTTTTATATTTGATCGTATTCATAAAATTCTTAACGTATCTTAATTTTTAATATTTATATAAAAATGTCATACAAAGGGAGGTAACCAGTGAGAATCTGAAGGAATAAAGTTCCTTGAAACGCTAGACGTACATGCGAACATTCGTATGTAAGTACATATGTATGTGCTTCAGGCGCGGACACTGCTTCGGTCAAGGTCGTAGTCTGCAAGTTAATGCTCTTTTTACACGTTCTCTTTTCTCCACTGTACACAGCGTCCCGAAAAGAAGTCAATTATTGTTTGCCAATGCGAAACATTTTAATATAATTATTTATGAATAAATATTAAATATGTTACGATTGAAATAATAAAATATTTTTTAATTTTTAGCATTATATATAATTGTTAATACATTTCATACAGATTTGATCTGAAATATTTAAAATATTATTATAATTAATATTATAATTAATATTTTTATAATGATTTTTTTGTTGAAATATTTATTTAATTTGAATATTAAATTTTTTAAACAAAATACTGTGTCGAGGATTGGTAACTCCACCACCGTTGGCGGAATCTAATAGCCAATGGGGTACGAGTTTCCTTCTCTCGGCGCGAAATGCAGCCATAGAATATTTAAATTTTATTACAGTTTAACGTTTCACTGGAAATACGTTAATATATTTACGTAAGTATTCAAGTAAGTACAATTTTGCTCCGAAATAAGCATAAAATTCGCTTGAGCTTATTGTCAAAAATCAAATATATTATTCGGCTTAATTTTGTTCAAGCAAAAGATTCAAAATAGAAAATAAAATAACTTACAATAACAGCGATTATTTTTTGAAAAAAAAAAATAAGAATATGATATATTTTCTTATTTTGATTCTGAATGTATATAAATATTTATAATTTCTTGCTCTCATGAATCTCTCATTTCATTCGAATCTTTCATTTTGCAAATGATTTTAAATAAAGAGGAAACAATAAATAATTAATTTCAAATCTGAAAACAATTGCTTAATTGGATCAAGACTGTATATACTTACGATATGTAGTAATTTGAATCGAATAAATTCTGTTAAAATTTTTAATCAATAGCTTAAACGAAGAAAATGCTAAAATTGGAGTTCTTTTTGGAATGCATAAATTTTGTGTAGTAAACAAAGAGAATAAACAATAGAAAAAAAGGACAGAAATAAGTAAAAATTGTCAAACCAGCGCCATCTCTAGAGTGCCATAAATGAAACTATATAAACAAAGAAAGAAAATAATAAGAAAAAGATAGAGAGTAAATAAGAATTAACCTTTAGCGCCATCTCTTAACTGCTACTGAGAAATATCTTTTCAAAATATTTAAAAAATGACGCTAGTCTTTAATTCTTAATCTACTTTATTTTATTTTAGATAGTTATTTTTGATTTATATAGGTATCTATCTATTTCTATGTTTCTTTTTCTTATTTTGTGTTTAAGAGATAGCATTGATTTTCATTTAAGAGATAGTCTTATTGTCTTCCTTATTTAAGTTTTATTGATTAAGATATTTAGGTTACATAAATATATATATATATATATATATATATATACATATATATTATATATATTCATTGTGTAGCATAAAATAAAAATAATATATTTTCTTTTCCGCTAGAATGTAATAAATAAATGTGATAAAATATCTATATAGATATATAATTATTTATAAATGAAAATTTATCGAAATATATTAATATATTTATGTAATATTTATCATGGATTTTAAATTAATTTGTATATACATATATTGTAAAATTTGCAGCAGTTCAATTATCTGGAAAATTAAATTGTAAGTTCTCCAAACTCAAACGTGGCGCTGTAAGCAGTGTACATTTAGATCCATTTTGATTCCAGCGATCGTGCCTCAGTACAGTCAGTAGCGTCATAAGTAGAGTTGCTGTTGGGTTGTCAGTAAATGTTCTGATTTGTTATATATATATATATACACGTATATATATCTTACAGTATGAATAATTGTTTTTGTGTTACTTGTTTTTATTTATTACATTAATAGAAATTGGATGTAGTACACAAAGAACTGTAAGTAATATATTTTTATTATTAATTATTATTACAAATAATTCGATTTGATTGATTTATTTGAATCAGCATCTTTTTCGAATAGTAAAACAAAGGTCGCGCGTAATATGATTCATCAACTGATTGTTCTATCTTGCGGGCAGAGTCGATTTAGAAATTATTGTTATATCTCAGGTCGTTGAATAACAATTCGATGGTAATTGGGAGCAGTACGTTACTTAATGAGGAACACGAGTTCCCATAACCCACTTATTAATTAACGTGAGAACTCTAATAATCAAGTGATTAGTAATGATATAATGTACGGAAATTTAAAAATAAATTTCTTTATATAATGACATTCATATATATAATAAAAATTGATTCAATTTCATTTTTTATATTTTTCATAGAAATAAAGTGAAAAAATATTTTATTAATATCATTTGATTCTATTATAATTGATGTAAAGTATGATTCATAGAATTTATTAATTATAATTATGTATTATTTAATTATTGAGTTGCAAACAATATATTTACATTTTTTTATATAAAAGAATTTGCCTGGCACTAGTTACGATCATGGCTGAATTATGACTGTGACACGAAATGTAAAGACAAAAATTTAACAACAGTTTATCTAAGAGCTGATGGCCCTAATGATACTTTACATTATTTGTGGGATTTTGATGGCAATCCATCAGTATTCTTAGCCCTTACTTTACCTTCAGCTTCACTAAATATAAACTGGGAAGATTTTTTTATTAAAAGAAAAAATTCCATAAAATTTACAGAAGAACCTATTTATACTTTTGGAGTAATTTTTAATAAGGTTAGTATATATTAAATCTTTTCATAAATAATTAAATAGTAATTATTAATACATTGAATAATATTTTCAGATTATAGAATTCAATGATAAAAATGATACAGCAATGATGAATATTACTGATATTGTAGATACAAATGTTATACATCCTATGTTTTTTCAATGGGATCGAAAAGCTTTAATACAAAATACTGAATTTGTTACATTAAATATGGAGGGTAACTATTACAATGATAGTATTATGAATATCAGTAGATATGGAACTGTAAAACTTTCGGTAAGATATTGTACTGTATATAAATATATATAGAATGTATATAGAATATATATATTATTAAAATTTGTTTTATTTATTTTTTAGTTGATAGGATTTTGTTCTCTTGATCATTCAGAAGTTATGCCTCATATGTTACATACTGAGAATTCTACTCAAATTGATATTATCCTTCAAAATATAGAAACTAACAAAACTTTTACTAATAGTAGATTTGCAATTGAATTATTGGTGGCAGGTGAAGGCAATCCTGATATTCCTATGTTTATTAATCCAAAAAAAAGTTTAGATGATGAACATACACCTGGAATATTTGAAGTAATGTATTATAATTTATATTCTTTATTAGAAATAAGTGAATTAAAAACAAATAAATAACAAATTTAATATTGTTTTAATATTATTTTAGGTTGTTGAAGTCAGAACACCACCTTATAAAAGTATGGATAATTACCAGACAGAAGGAGCTTATTTGCAATGGAGACCAGTTTCTTACACAACTATATCTCGAGATACAACAAATTCTACAGAAACAATGCAATATTCACCATTGAAAGTATCTAATCATACAAGTGCTATTATGAATTCCATGTTATATTGTTATTATGGAGATAAAATTGACAATTTGCTCACTCAAAGAATTATTGTATCATTAGGCACAAAAGGAGATGGGTTTTATAAAAAAACGTATTATTCTACATGGTAATTTTATTTTAATACATATTTTCATTTCATAATATATAGTTTCATTTCATTTCATTTTTTAATATACAATATAATTTTTAAAATTAATATTTTTTTCAGGACATTCTTGATTGGATATGGTACACCACCTGATGAACAATTTTCTTATTTAGTAATTATGATTATTTCAATTGGTCTTGGCCTTCCGCTAATTATTTTACTAGTAATTGGCTTATATCTTTGTATTTCCAAATTACCGAAACGAAATGGTGAGATGTATTTAAGTCAGTAAAAATATAATTTATAAATCGTACATAGTTTCTAACTGAACAATGTTTAATAGAAATCTATGCACATTTAGTTGTATTATTGACAGACCACCGATAAATTTTACAAAAAGATTTTCCTATATTTATATATAGCACATATATTTTTTACACGTATTTCCAAATTGATACATGAAAATCAATTTGAAGTATATATTAATGCAATGTATACAAATTATTCTGTACAAATTTATATATAAGTAATAAACTTTAAAAAAACAATTTTCAAAAATTATTTTTTAAACCAAAAATATATTTATATGATACAATTTTTCGATTTTTCTTTAATATTTAAAATTTTAATGAAATCAATATTTTTGCAAAAAATATATAGAATATAAAATATATAAATATACAAAGAAAATGTAAAAGAATATCAAAAAATAAACTTGTCAATATATATCATCGCTGTAGAAGGGTGGAAATCTACACAATACCTCAATGGCGGCAGATGACAGGATGACAGTAAGATCGCAGCACAATCGCTAGCCAATAGTTTCTTAAGGAAAGCTTTACGGGCGAGCTTGCAGAGACGGTCGGTTATTCCGAAAGGCGGTAGGCGAATGTTTTTAGGTGAAGATAGTAAGGGTGGTGCGGTGTGGTACCGTGTTTCTCGCTATCACGGGGGTGGCGGGTAAGGTGCTGTTAGTGGAAGAGTACATTTTCATTGATCCATTCGTGGTACGGAAGCAAGGAACGTACGAATTTACGAATTCTAATCGTGATATTAACTTCGTATTCACTGTATTTCAAATCAAAGTTACGATTAAACAAATTTCCCTTCTGAATAATTCTTACCATGGATCGTTTGAAAACGTTATGGTGGAGAAGTGAGAGGGAAGCTGAGAAATGGGCTCAATCAAAGGTTCATACAGAAGAAGCGTATACCGCAATTGTCATTGGGTGAGTACGGATTTGTAGTTGCGATAGTCTCTCGCGCAGGTTAGTTGAACGTGGTGGGTGGTCAGACAGAGGGGTGGTTCGCGTAGCAAGTCGCGAATGGTGCGGGTATATAGTGGGGCGCCTCGAAACTAGTTCCTGTCGAGTCCGCTGCGCGAGATTGGCGCGTGGCGGTGCAATAACGTCCGCGTCGGGTTTGTCTAATCGTGACACAGTCCTCGAGAGAAGCTTTTCAGCCGATAAAAGTGTGCGTCAGACACGGAGTGTTTTAAGAGACTCAGACTCAGTGTTAACGGGGAACTGGTGGATGGTGGTGAATTCCCGTGGCCAGATTAGCTGGATAAAAAGCAAAGATCGAAACGAAAGAACGCGAACGAGGAAAACGTCGACAAAACGGGAGACAGTGCTAGTGGCGACTAAGTGAGCGAGATAGAGTCTACGGAAAGAAAGAGAGAGAAAGAGATATAAACGAGTAGGAGGGATATATAGGGATGAAGAAAGAGTGAGAAAGTGCTAGGTAGGAGGTATAAGTGATAGAGGGAAACAGAAGGGGAATAAGAAAGAAAGAGAGGGAGGGGTAACGATAGAGACGGACGGGTGTTAGAAAGAGAGAGAAGGCGCGCGCGCGCGTCTATGTGCCAGAAGGAACTGACAGATAAAGGAAGTGGAAAGGACCTGGTCGGTCCTTCGGTAAGGAAAGCTAAGGGTACGAAGGACGGCAGGAAGGCAGGAAAGACGGAAGGATCGTAGTCAGACGAAGCTGTATTACGGGGTGACAGCGGTGCGAGTAGTAGAACGCGTCGGGTCTGTCCCAGGAAGGGACCGTCGCGCGCAACGCGATCAATTTTCGTTGCGACGCGGGCGGTGAGACTGGAGGAAAGGAAGAAATGACGACTGCAGCGAGATACCGATAACCGGCCAGATAATGTTGTCGCAGAGCAAGTTTTACGCTCTCTTTATCCACTACACATTTGTGTAGCGCGACACGGGGCGGGTCCTTGCCGCTGCGGTGAAGAACAGAGGTGTCGGAAGAGGAGGTGGAGGCGCGAGGAGAACAAAGGAGACGAAGAAGAAAGAAGAAGAAGAAGAAGCGGAAGAACGAAAATTAGGAAAGGAACGAAGAAATTCGTTAGAATTCCTGAAAAGTCTAAAAAGATATCCGAGAAACTAGGATACGTTTCATCGTCTATCGTCTATAATCGTTGCGTAAAGAAACAGAAAAAAGGAAAGAACGGAGGAAAAAAGAGAGAAAAAGAAGAGAATAAGAGAAAAAGACACATATAAACACACACGCACGTATACGGAAAAGACAGAAAAGTTTGTCGATGTACGGTGTGTGTTCAGTTTACAGTGTCGTTGCTTGGTAGTGTGCTCTACCCTTGCCGAAGTTGAACAAGTAAGGCCCGCGGAGGTATCTCAGAACCCGCCCCTCCTCGACGTCGCAGTGCCTCTTCTCCAATTCGCTACGTCGTGCTTTTTTTCGTTCAAGCTACGACTATCTCTACATTACCGGAGAAACTCCTCGACTGTAAGTGAAAAAAAAATTTTAAACTGTTTATGCATTTTATTTGGATACATTTTTATGTGAATTTGAATCGAATTGAATTATTTTCATTCGATAGTAATCATTTATCAGAATGATTCACGTGAGTTGATGAGTTGATTAGAGTAAACAGCGTGTAAGATATTTCGTTGATTTTACCACTTGGAAACCGCGTGTGCTTCTTGAAGGAGGCGCTAACAGCGCTACCGTACAAGTCTATCACATAAATTATCTTTGTTGCAACGTTTTTTTTTTATATATCTATTGTTTCTTTGTGTTTTAATTGCTAACGAAATTTTTTATATCAGGACAGTTTATGTCATGATATGAAAAATATATTTTATTTAACGTGTGAATCTTCTTCCTCTCTCTCACTACATATACATATATAATCAATTACCATGCTACTATACAGTTTCGATTATGTTGGACACGATAGTACGAATCGAATTGTAAAGTGACATATACGTATATAGTGGTACACACATATACACACATACGCAATAGAAAGACACACGCATACACGAATGACATATATCTACGTATAGCATGACGCGCGACTGCTGTTCCATTCTCGATATATCGATCGATAACTGCCTCGGTCAGGGATCAGTCAGGGGTTCACTCTCGCGATGACGATAAGCGCTTGCTCTTCTTCTTTGCTCTCTCTTCTTGAGATTAGTCGCACGTGAAATAGCTTCAGCTGCCTTTGTGTTCGTGGCGATGAAGGTCGTATTCTCTGGCGCACACACTACATATCGTATATCGTATTCCTTGTATGCTCACTCTGTGTTCTTGTATGTCTCGTGATGACCTTCCTCCGCGCGAAAATTGCCGGTCAATACGACGTGCACGATCCGCTTAAGAGTCGTGCGATGGTATCGATCACCGCCTCATGCACGAGCATCAGACTCACCGAGACTTTCCTTGATGTGAAAGAAACGCGTGAATTATGTTCACTTCGATCTTTTGAGAATGACCAACTTTCCGCGAATTCTCAATCGATGAACATAACCTCTCAGTTGACAAGAATTGAAAATGTTGTGTATATCAAAATGCCACTATATTTTTTCATTTGTATTTCATTAGAAAATATATGAAAGGATAAAATCGAAAATAAAAGTTTTAGGTTATTTTTATGTTCACTTTTTACTTGTTAGGTTATGAATATACATATTATGTAAAATCAAATGGTCTGTACATGTGTCTTGGATAATGATATATTTATATCGTTTAAAATTTGATGAACTATTTAGCTTAATAAATAAAAGATCGATAGTATAACCGTGTAATGTCAAAGGTCGTATCAAAGCTACATTGTCTGTGGCTAAAAGGAAGCGTATTTTCCCATCCGTTCGTCGCGCGAGAAAAGCATGACGTCAAAGTCGATTTCTTCGACTTAAACGTTCTCTTGCGCTCTCGAAACCTTCTGTCCCCTCTCTTATCCTTGATATTTCGATTCATTAAATACAATTCCTGTAAAAGCGTTACTTGGCATTTGGCATGCAACAGTTTTCTATCCATTTCAATCTATTCATTTGTTTATTTTGCATGATAGAATCATATAGGAAAATCATTTATTTTTAAATAAAATTAAAAATAACTTGTAATTCATAGTTTTTGATTATAAGATTCCATATAAGATCTGTAACTAACAATTCTAGAATAAAATTTCTATTTGATATATCAAGTTTACATTTTCCTAAGATTACAGTTTCAAAGCATGTAATTTTTTATAATTGCGATTTCAAAGCATTCAATATTCTGAAATTGTAATCGAATTTGAGAGTTGTAAGTTTCGATTTAGTGATTTTTGATTTTAATTTCAAATATTGGAAACATAATAAATTTCAGAAATTTATTATTTTAAAATTTTTTAAATGTAATATTTAACTAAGAAAATTATTTTGTCTTAGATTTCTAATAATCTATAATTAATTAAACTAATTAATCCACTAACAAATTGATAATTGAATTAACAATTAATCCTCCTAAAATTACCAATATCTAACCATTAAATTACTAGTGATTTAATAATTAAATCTAACCATGAAATTAGTATTATTCCTAGTAGTATTATTATAGTAATCCTGTTAAAGTAGTATTATTAGTAATCCTATTAAATCATCCTAATTAATAAATTATTAGTCCGAATTAATAAATATCCGTTGAATATTCTTATTTTCAATCAATTTATTATCCTGTAATCAAAGAATTCTTGATTTTTCTTAACTACGATATTGCATTTGTAGGAATTATAACTAGAATGTTTGCATAAAAAATATTTTAATACAAAGCAATCTTTGTTACAATTTGTTCGTAGTAGGGGTAATTTAGAATAGAGGGTTCAGAAATAATCTCTTTCGATGATGATTTTTATCTCTTTGATTCCGAATGCGCCATGATAAGCAACGGCGTTATAAAACTAGGCGCGTGCGCATTAACAAAGGTGACGGTAAAAGAAGGAGGGAGATTTTGCAGGGCAAACGTTGAACGAGCAAACGCAACAGGTGCGATATGCTTCGCACAATGTTCTAAGCAAAACTGTACTCAAAACGTTGGTATGTTCTGTCACTCTGAAATTTATGATATTAATATAGGATATCTCTGGGAATCCTAATTCTTTCCTAATTCTTTTATAACTAATCTTAGGATTAATAAGTTTGATATAATTAAAAGCAATTATTCAATGTCACGGAGTTAAATATGAATTAATTGTGATACGATATAATATTAATGATTAATGATATAATATATAATGATATATGAATTAATGATGTAATAAATAGTGATTTTAATATTCTAATTTTTTCATTATTTTGAATATTTTTTAGTAACATTTTTAGAATTTCCATATTTTCATTCATTCTTTTAATAATTTTCAAATAATATTTTAATATTTTTTATTATTAGTTATTTGTTAAATATATTTTTTTAAAATATTAATTTTAAAAAAAGTACTTTTTAAATATTTTAAATTATTTGATATACTATAAATATCATTCTCAATTGGCAAATAGAAAATTTTAACAATTCTAATGTTAAATCATTCTAAAAAATGAAACCTATAAAATAGTACAGCATTCAAGTCATAGCATATTAAAACTTCAAACAGACAGATAATTGAATAATGTATCTTCTGAATATATAACTTCTTAATGCGATTATTGAACTTTTCATTTCGATCGAGAATAATACCTAATATCTTTATTTCTCTATTACAAAGAAATTTATTATTTTTAAAGAAATATATATCACATATAATATCATATATAACATATATTGTTAATGAAAATTTAGAATATTTTATCTTTCGTTGATTCTATAATAAAAAATAATTTGATTTGCTTTTTCCAATCTAATATTAGATGATAAAGAACACAAGAAAGGGATTCGCAAACTTCCTTTAGGGAAGGAAGATGTTGAAATATATAGAGAAAAATGATAGGGTTCAAGGTTCTATCGATTAATGAAGAATACTTGATCAAGATCGCATCTTGTTCTGTAGACTAGTGTTTCTGAAGTGTAATGACAAGTGAAAATCCGTAAGAAAAGTCAGACAGACATGCAGGCAGGCAAAAGGGCAATCGATCGATTGTCCTCGCAAGAACGCATGGCCCTGTTCTGCACTATACTTTAGTTTCAGATATACTTTGTCTTTTGTGGGTCGTGTCAGTGCAGCTGATGCCGTGAGCAACAATTTGCATTATATACTTAATATTTCAGTTAACATCATGATATGATTTATATAGTTTTTAAATAGTTTAGTTCATATATTAAAATATGAAAACATGAATTCTCCAGATATTATTTTCTTGGATATATTATTTGAAAAAATATAAACTAAAGTAACATCATCGATAATATATTAATACATGTGTATATTTATATACATTATATATTAATATTTCTTAAATAGATTTTTTAATTTTGCAAATTTTTAGAGATATTAATATTTAGATTTTTGTTATTTTTTTTCAGTTCTGTATTAATTAAATTTTTTCTTTGATTTTCATAATTTCGAAGTATATGAAAAATTTAATTTCGATTAAAAAGTTAGTTGTTCATGTGCGTTAATGATTATCGATTCTGGCTTTTGGTGATATCTAAACGATAGCAATCTTTTGGATGTCACGCTAAAATAACAGGCACACCCAATAATAATCTATTAGTCGTTCTCCATTGGTGATGCAAAGTAATTTTCTACTACTGCAATCATACTTATATTTTCTTCTATTCTTGCAACTTATTCTATATATCGTTTGCAATAACGTTTTTATTCTTTCAATAGTTTTACATTTTTCAATTGCAAGTAATTTTTTAATATTTTATCATATTTAAAAATTATAACAAATTTCATTTTAGCATGAATGATCTCCAGTTGAAATTCTATATTTAAAATTTTCCAATTTTTTAATATTGCAAATATATAACACACAATTTTTTATTTTTATAATTTTAAAATTTCAAAAATTATGGTTATGTAATTAGCAGATAAAATCGATATAGTGGAATTATAAATTAAAATAATTAAGAAAGATATCAATTGATGTAGTCGTATTCAAGAATCTCGAAATTTAAAAATATAAAATGTTATTTGAATTGATACATAAAATTTTTATAGAATATATATTCTATATACTGATATAAATATTCTATACAATATATGTATTATATATATTCTTGTAAATAAGGAATAAAAACATATAAAAATGAAATAATTTTAATCCAATTTTAAGTTTAATTTACAATTCTGAACATGTTATTGTTTTTATCTATCTTTATTTTTCTCAGATTTTATTTTCTTCAAGATCTTAATAATCACGATCTTACTATATCTCTTTCACCAACTAATTTCTATTCCCATTTCTATTTTCGAATATACATATTCACGACATACATATTCACATTTGATACACGAACTTTTAATTTCAATTTTTCATTTTTAAATCATCAAAATATTTTTATTTCTTATTTACATCTATACTCTTTGATCCTTTTTATATTCCCTATATCAATTTCTTTCAATTCCCTTCAGTATCGTTTTCAATCCATACCAAACGACCTACATTCGTGATTCATCCGAATGTCCGGCAGTTTCCGGATCGGAGACCGATATACACGGTTGAATTAAGGGATTAAGAAAAGATCGTAGGATAAAAACAGTTCTTTATCCTTCTCTATTTTCAATCCTTGGCATTGGTGTGGATGTGGGATCGCCGGATGGTGGTGGTAACGACGGCGGTGCGGCGATGGTAGCGTCAGCACTCGTCGTCATGACAACGTTTTTCCGCAACGTACCCGGCCTGGTTCGTGACGTCACGCAATGTCGGCATTGGTGTTGGGTCGCTACTGTGCCACACCACAACGTGGAGAAAACGGTTTTCCTACGTTGTTCCTCCTCCGGTAGCGCCACTGTACCCTCCGCCGTACTCTCCATCAAGATGGCAGTCGTGCAATTACAGAGAATGCAGTGTTTGCCACGATATGTATCACGTTTTTCACGTGCGGAACTTTTGCCAGATTATCTTCCTCTGCGTTACTTATCGGATACCGCGAATTAATCCGCCCGTGATTAAATATAGGAGATGGAAAAGTTTTCCATATCGAGTTTTTAGAGTATGGATTGAAATTTTATAGCGAGGTCTATCCTTTATTCGAATTATGCCAACATCGAAGTAGATCGTGCATTCGTTTCGCTATATGCATTGGTACTGCTTATTGATCCACGATTCGAGCTTTCGAAAAGACCGTCTGGAACGGTTTTCTCACGATGTTTGTATAATATTCGATTGTCTTATGTAGAGAGTAACATTAAAGGTACAAATTTCGTAGAATAAAAAATTTTCTACTAGTTAAGATATTTATCGTTATTATTTTTAATGAATTTATAAGATGATGTAAGGATTTTTATACATCATGGTATGATTTTTGTAATTTTCAGTTCATAGGTAGAGGCGTTTCGATGTAATCCGAATATTTCCAATGGTATTCTTATAAATTGCTATTTCTAAAGCGTCCTTGCAAATTCATACTCCGTACATCAAAAAAAAAAAAAAAANAAAAAAAATCGGAGTGTTTAGACTCTTTAACAGGGAGCTCTTGTAACGTCGAATGCTTTTGTTGATTCCTCGATGAAGGCTGATTTACCGTAGACATACCTGACCCCGTTTCTCTCCTAGCCTGCGTGTTGGCAGACTGCCGTTTTTATTGTAGTCATATATCCGCAGAATAAAAGCTGCAATAGGCAATTAAATTGAGCTTCATCGCATTCCATGTCGCCGGATTATGTATCTTTTTCCATAATATTTATTGTAGCTTTCACGATATTTTCGTATTATTTCAAAATACTGTCACTTTCTCAATGCCAAATATTAGAAAAGAGAAAGATAATTATTTATCATTAGAAAAAGTGAAAAATAATTTACATTTAAAATAAAATTGATATTAAACCTAGAAATATTCATTCTTAATGATATTCATATTTTTCATATTAAAAAAATTGCTAAAAAATTTTCATTTTTAATTAAATTTTAGATTATTTTTGATATGTAAGAGTAAATTTTAATTATAAAAAAATAACAGTATATATTTGCTTCATAACTTATTTTATATTCTCGTAAATATAATAAATATCTTATGATTTTTGAATGAGAGTGTACATTCTAGTATCTCTCAAGAGATCAATCCTCATTCAGCTCTTATTTTTCCAAGCTCTTAATTTATTTCTTGGCGTCAAACTGATACAATCGTAAAAATCAATATGATAAAAAGATAAATAGTCGAAATTGCAAACTTTTGTGAGAAATAAAAAAAATGAAATTTTTGCACATACATCATTCACTTTCTTTTACTTATAAAGTACCATTTATAAAATATCAGTAATAAATTGCAATTTATTATTTTTTTTTAAATATAAATAATTAAATTCGATCTTAAAGAAAATACTTTGTTCGTAATTCATAAACTTGATAACAAATATTAATAAATAATCTCTAGATGAAGAAAATAATGCCATGTGCTCGATATTTGCATTTTAAAAATTGTAAAAATATTGTTCAAATATTATCGATATAATGAACAAAAAGAAGTAAGAAGTGAGAATAAGAATTGACGAATTTAACATATTTTAATCATTTCGAAATAAAAATTTAATATTATCGCATAATCCATAGATTCATTAATTTCTAGACGAAGAAGATTGGACGCAATTAGCGTAATCGAATCACAGTCGATCTTCTGGTACATCGTTAGTTCGTGGCCGTCCTTAAATTGGTTCGGGCATCTTCGTCCTTCTTCGGCCGGCCACTCGGCGCGGTTTGATCCTGCGTATACCCGTACCACACTGGCAATCAACCGTTCACTCTTACTTTTCCTGCTTTGCGTATGGGAGCGCGCGGGTTTGCCCGTTGGCGCCGCGGCGACGACACCGATGCATAAGCGCGTGACCGAGTTCCGGCGGAATATGATCGACCGCACGAAACTCGGTCAAAGACCACCGACACCCTTCCTCGAGTCGCCTCTATATCGCATGCTCCGTGTATAAATTTTTGTTGTCGTGAATATGCGTGAACACGCCGCACTTTTTTACGAACGACAAAACTCTCGAGTGGCTGCTCGCTGCCAAAAGATATTCCGCCCGAAAACGTCGCGTATACATATATATATATATGTATATATTCATATACACGATTCTTGAGGCTGATTTCCTCGAGCTGTGTTCTCTTCCGATTATTTTTTTTTTTATTTTATTTCTAGTATATGCTATTTAGTTTGACAAGAGGATTATCACGGATGAAAAACATATTTGAGAATTTTTGTTATTTATTATATTTGTTTTGTATTTGAAAATTTTCATTTTCACATTATCGTTTTAAGATGCGTTATTAGTAATTTATATTATATTGTTATATTTTTTTTTTTGGAAGTATTTGATATTTTTTAAATACGTTGCATAGAGAAAATATGTTTTAAATGTAAATTTATATAGATTTCTTGAAGATGTATATACATATATATTGATTTTTTATGGATTTTAAAGATAGATCACCGTTTCTAATGTAGATTTTTATTTTTGTTATAGATAAATATCGATCGACTCGAAAATCAGACTATGTTATATCGAATAACGGATTGATCGCACCCGTCGCTTCATTCACACGTGAGTATTATATAAGTGAATTTATCTGATTAATTTTAACTAATGAATTAATGTCTGATTTTATTAAAATTAACTATTTTCTATATATATTTTTTAAGAAAGTATATAAAAATTTATGATTCGAGTATTTTCTAATGATTAAACTATAGATTTTATTTTTGAATTGTTCACTGGTAGTACAAATCTATTTGCACTCAACAGTGAATAATATATTATGTAGTTTATACTAATTTATAACATTATGATAATTTTCATTCGCCGATTAAAATTATAATTCTTTCATATTACAAAATCCTAAATTTTGTATATCATCGCATCATAATATCTTTTATAACATCTCCATAATCTCCATAAATCGAAAATCCCTACAAAATCTTACAAAATATTTTAAACATTTCAACAGATATCTTTAATTTAATAATTCTCAGAATTATAAAACATAAAAACTTAATTCAAATCCACGTTCGAATCATAATTAAGATTAGATCATATTAATTCTCTGTCCGATAAAATTCTTGTAATATATATAAAAAAAAAAAATTACCTCCATTACATTTTACAATGATTTTCCCAGAAAACTACAAGATCAATTGTAATCTAGTCTAAACATGACATATTTACCTACCAATACTATCCTTGAAACTCGATAAGAAACCTTCACACTTGAAATCATTGTTGAATCGCAGGTCGGACATGAAAAATCTTGGTTCGCGTTGGACGGTCCCCGACATAGCACGCACTGCCGCAGCGCGTTCGTCATTTCTCGTCGCCATTTCGTCGGAACGAGATTCAGGTAGCAGCAGCAGCAGCAGCAGCAACAGCAACAGCATCATCATCAACGATAGCAGCAGCAGCATCAGAAGCAGAAGTATTAGCGTGAAAGTGAAAAGGAGCAACGTTAGAAGTAGCGGTAGTGGAATCAACAGGGAAAGTATCAACGGTAGAGGCAGAGTCACGGCGATCGAAAAGTATAAGAGGGGAACGAGGGGAAACGGTAGATCGGCAGTCGACGTGCTGCACGAGTCGAATTTATCCGTCCGATCGTACGTAACGGCGTCGTCAAATCGGTTCGACGGCACGACGCGTCCCGAATCGACGACCAGGTACCGGCCACTAGCCGGCAAGTCGCGCGGTTCTCAGCACCGGTCTCGTCCTCGTCAGCCGCAGCCGCAGCCACCGCAGCAGCCACTCTATTACCCCCCCGCATCGTGGGACACGCGCACATTACACTTCAGGAACTGTTAGCACCGATCAAAAGTGAGTATTCGAACGGAGGAGGGTAAGAGAGGTCGCGATCACCAAGATGTTTCGAAGAATGTAGCATGGTTTATACGAGATGCAATGGACGAGAGTGTTAGCTCTTCGATGATTGATATTCAATTTCGCAGGATACTTTGTGGAACTGTTGTACGAACAACAGTTGTGTCACGGGATATCTCGTTCGTGGTTCGTTGTAAAGCGATTAATCCCTTTCTGGCCTGAGGATAAATTACGTTTGGCGTTTCATTCCGGTCGATTTACATTTTCAAAGGATGCGTGTTTGAAATCTTGATTTCAAAGAGATAGATAGATTCGAAAACTAACTTTGCGATTTGAATAGATTTGAAATTTTGCTTTTAGAGAGGTTCGACAAAAAGCTTTTTGAAATTTTCGTTCCAACAATTGTTTTTAAAAATTATTTGTAATTTGAATGTAATCTTTGAAATATTGTTTTTAGGAAATTATTCTCGTTTGCTATTATTTAACTGTATTTCATGGTGGATTTAATCGTTAATTTAAAATGTTAAAAGATGGGATGAAAAAAACTTCATAAAGTAAAATTATGTTTTGATGTTGAAGTAGAATTATTTTAAAGATTTTAAGGTCATCTTTATTTTTCCAAATGAAAAAATACAATGCAAAATACAATTTATTATTTAAAAAAAATCAATCAAAAATTAATTAGATTATATTTATAGTATAAATGGAATTATATCATATTTCATTTTTATTTATTACAAGCGAAGGGAATAGAATGGAATAAAATGTCGACTATAACTTGATGTAGGATCGCAAAGGGCTATACTTAGTACGTGCTCTCAGTTTCGAATCGACATAAACTATATATCATTTTGAGAGAAGGATGGCACAAAGAAAAGAGGATACTTCACTCATTTTATCTCACTTTATTTTTACACATATGAATTCTTTTAAAATTTAATTTTAAACAAGCAATAATTCTCAATGGTTTCAATAATTTTATTCTGATTTTTTGTTTATTCTGTTTATTCTGTAGATAAATCATTCACAATTTTATATGAAAATTTAATCAATCGTGAATATATAAATTTATAATTTATTATTTTTGTGAATTTTGGTGAATTTTATAGATTTTTATTCTTTTAGAATCATCTCTTTTATAAGAAAAAGATATAATCGGAGAAATAGATTAATTCAGTCCTTGTTACTGAAATCTTTGGCTCTGGCTGTAAAAATATAGCGATAGAGTGGAAGAAATGAAAACAGGACAGCATGATAGCAGCCAAAAATAATTATGCATTAACGGTATAGTACTACAATCTATAGTATCTATATATCATATATATGGAAAGAAACTATAATAGAAGAAATATTTCTATTAGAGTGTAATTGAAAATTTATAAAAATTATAATTTAAAATTTAAAATTATTTGAAAAATTAGCTTTTTTGAAGATATAATTCTGTTTTATTTCTTTATAATAAAATATTTTATATAAATATATATTTCTTTAAACGAAGGTATTATACATATAAAATACATATAAAAAAAAAGAAAAATAAATAATTAGTTTTACTATCTGTCCTAACACGATTTTGAGGACATTGAATGAGCTTGAAAGTTCGATAAATCTCATGCATATTTAATGAACTTTCTATTTCTGCTTACAAGCATTCTCAGGAACTAGGCATTAGTGTATCTATTTATGGAAAATTTCGATCAACATCAACAAAGAAATTTTAAATATCTTACAAATTAATGAAACTTCTTTTACATAATATAAAAGAAACGATATCTTCATGACTTTTCTAGTTTTTTTTTTTAATAATTTTTATATTTGCAAATTTAATATAAAAAAAATATAAAATCTAAATAATATCAAACAATGAAATTATAAAATTTTGTAATATATATATATATATATATCATTATAATCTTTTCGAATGTATCATTGAAACGAATCATTCTTTAACTACAGAGAGAGAATACAGATTTACACCCTTCATATTTCCGACTTAATTCACATTTCACAAAAAAGTTCATCAAGATTCAACTAGTGTCTTCTTTCCTGCGACTTAAACGCGGTTTTATCCCTTACATTGTTCATGGCTTTTCAATAACACAATGTTTAATAATTAAGTTGGAGCTGATCCTACATCGGGGCTTCTCGTTTCAATACGATAAAGCTCGTGTTGGCAGTGCTCCAATTTTTAAGTGCACCAGACAAATCGGGATGTCGCGACAGATTGGAAAAAGTTAAAGTTCTTTGTCGTGCATCGATATTGCAATATTTCAATCTGTCGAGTACGGTTTACAGGATTCTTTAATACTGATAAATTATTGTTCTCTGTATATGTCTCGAGAGTGGATTAATATTCTTAAAAAAATTTTAATTTCAAAAGTTAAAAAGAAAAAAAGAAATGCGAGAGAGGAGTACGAATTTTTCAAGAGAAAATTTCGTGCAAAAAAAAAAATTTTTCGAAATCGTAACGAGCGATCGATTAATTATACTTTATAATCGATTTTTACACTCGAAAATAAAAATTTAGTTTTATAAATGAAGACAAGCATTGGAGATGAGTCAAAAAAAAATTTTAAGAAACGTTTTAAGATATAAAGGGATATGCTTACACGTACTTTCTTCCAATTCCTCGCGTTTGAGACATCCTAACACGAAATTCTACGATATCGTAACATCGTGAAGTTTATTACTAAGTGGTCTGAGACATAGAGTTGGGAAAGAGAGGTCTCGAAGTGTGCCATCCCATTATAGAAATAAGTTCGGCCTACAATTTCCTTAGACTCGGGGTATAAGCTTATAGTTTCATGAATATATATATATATATA